ATATTCCTGTATTATTTATGGTTATTGGATAGAGTAAGGTAAGAAATGGTACTCCAAGTATTACTGCTTGGTTTAGTCCTTTTACCATGATGAATGGGGTCTTAAAACAATGTCCATTATTACAAACAACAGCATCAGATAATTTATAATTAATAAATAATCTACTTCCATCAGCAGTATTTAATATTGGTGTTGTTTTATCAAAATATTTTGTAGGTACTAAACCTTCATTAATACAATTTAAGTCTGCTCCTGAGTCTATTAAGGCTAATGATTGGAAATTATATTCGTTTTTTACTATAATTTTTAACTAGCACAAACCATTTTTGTGTAATAACTTTATTTATTAGATTTACAGAGTTATTATTGGTTTCATCTTTTATTCCTGATGATTCAGGTTCTTCTATTCTTGATTTATTATGATAATCTATTAATTGAGTAAATTCTATTTCATTTGTATTTGTTATATTTCTTGAAACTTCAGTTTGTAATTCTAATATTTTGATTCGATTTTTTTATTGTTGTATTTCTATTTTTACTTCATTTATTTCCTTTTTTAATTCTATGATCGTTGGTTCTTTTTGAATTGTATCTTTTCTATTAGTCCTTTTGATTATTTCAGCAAAATTATATTCATCAGGAGGCTTTATTAAAAGGGTAGGTTTATTTTTTGCCTTAGTTATATTAATGAATTGAGTTATAATTTCTCTTTTTTTATCTGGGTCTGTAATTTTCTCTATTAAGTCTAATATTAAATTGTCTTCCTTAGATATAGCATATTACATGAACATTCTTGATTATTTGATTCTTCAGTAGTACTAATCCACACAAGATTTTCATCTTCAATATTTCCTATTTAATGAAGTATCACTAGAACTTTTTGTAGAATTTTCTTCAGAACTGTCTTCATTATATATTTGTATAATATTATATATTTTATTTCTGATAGCTTCATCTAATATTAATGTATCTATTGTCTTTTTAACTTAGCAAATTACTTTTATAATGGCCTACTTTTCCACATTTATAGCGTACATGCAATTTTTTCTTTCTTTTTTTATATTTTTGTTTTGGTGAAAACCTTTTCATAAATTTCTCTCTTTTATTTTTCTTATATGGCTTTCTTTCTTTTTTCTCATATTTATACTTTTTCCTTTTTATAACTTTTATCTTTAGATTTTTCAATATTATATCCAAATTGTTCACAGAAATCTCCCAGTTCTTTTCTACCAGTCATTCTTTGCTTATCTAATTGTTTCTTTAATTTCATATCTGTGCATAGGGCTAATCCTTTTACACATATTTCAGTAGATAATTCTCCTAAAGTATAAACAGAATATGGTATTATTATACCTCCATGTTTATTCTCAAGTCTATTTTTTACTTTTTCAGCAAATAAATAGGGTAACCCAGCTATGAATTTTTCTTTCCAATGATCTAATTGACTATCTTCTCTAGTTAATAGTCTTGAGAAAAATACATCTTTATACCATTTATAATGTGATAATGTTGGACATTTTAAATTGGATAATAAATCTTCAGATCGGGCTTCAAGTAGGGTTGTACTCCCCACAAAATGAAGAGTGAAAGTATAAATAAGAGTATTTACTGCATCACTTTCAGAATATAAGACATCTTGATTTTGTTCATTTTTTACGGTCCATTGACGAGTTGTATTTAAAATTTGATTTTTGGTATTTTCAGGTAGATAGAAACCCCACGAAGCCATCCAATGAATCCACATACTATGGCTTTTGCAACTTCTTGGTCATGGTTTCCTACCATCTTACAAGTTGATGCATACATGGCCATATGTTTCATTGTATCAAGAATTTGATGTTCAGACATGCCATCTATATTCCAATTTACTATTGTTCTTCCAGAATAGGAGGTTGTATGTGATATTAAATCTTCTTCAAATTGGACGTCTACTGGGGTCGGTCTATGGTGATATGGTCTGGCTGTGGCGGGTTTCCAATTTTTATTATCAGATATTCTTTGGAGAGATTGATCATTATTATTATTTGCAGTAAATGCTGTTTCCATATTTTCTATTGTGTCTTCTATCATGGGTTCTTCTTCTTGGAGGGTTAAAGTTTCTGACTCTTTGATTTTTTCTTTTCCTTTGAGATTTATATCTTTTTTCGTAGTTTCCTTTATTCAAGTTTAGCTAATTTTGATATTAATTGATCTATAAGGGTTTTATTATTATCTCCAATATGGAATCTTTCTTTATTCATAGCAGGTGGTGGTTTGAATAATAAAGATTTTTGTGTTTCTTGTATAGGAGTTGGTTTTAACATATTTTCAATTCTTAATGTTTGTTTGCCTATGGATTGCATATATAAATTAGTATAATTATTTTGTTCTATTATATGAGGAATTAATTCTGATCTATATACTATTTCACCAGTAGTCATTTTATATGGAGTAGCTTTTGTTTCTAGAGTGGGCGACCTATCTGATTCTTTTCCTTTTATTACAAGGCTTCTTTCCGGAGGATGTATACTAGTAATTTTATTTCCTTTTGATGTATTATAAGTATTATATTGGCTTTCTAGAGTATGTATTTCAAAATTAGGAACTGAAACTCCTTTTTTTGCTAAGATTTCTTTTAACCAAATAAAAAATCCTTTATTTTGCTTTTCTGTTTTAAGAAACTTATTATATTTTTTATGAAATAATTCTATTAGTCTAGGTTCAAATGTAGTAAGATACCAATTTCTAATTTCTTTATTGTCATTAGATAGATACTCTGCCTCTGTTAAGGTTTTATCTATTTTTTGTTCCTCTTGCAGGGTTAATATATGAAAATCCATTTCAAAGTCGGAGTAGTTTGGATCACTTTTAGATTCGTTTTGTATCTTTTTGTATTGAGGTATTACAATATTTTCTTTTGTTCGTATTACTCCTTGTATTTTTGGATTAATAGATGAAGTAGAACTTCTAGATGGTTCTAACTATGTCTTATGTGATTTTATTTCAGAATCATCTTTACTATTTTTATCTTTCTGTTGACTAGTAAATTGTATTTCTATGTTTCCATTCATATGTTCTATTATTCTATTTGGGATATTTTTTAGAAGGTGCTTGGAAATGTTGATTTTCATTCTGTATGGACGAAGATTCTGGTAATACTATTTCTGACCATTCTTTTGACTTAGGTATAATAGTATTAGACTTTTCTATATTGGTTTGGAAAAATGTCGTTTTTCTTCTAGTATCCATTTGTATTACTTTTGGACAAAGTATTCATAACCTTATAATATATTCTGTATATTATTGCAATATTTTGTTATCCTGGGGTCATATCAAAACCTTGAGTTTTTAGATTTAATGTTAATACCTTAAGGATATTAGGATCTTTTATGGAGACTGAATAATTAGGAAAGCAGTTAAAATATATTGGTCAACTACATAGATTAGACTCTACCATTCCTAACAATGAATCTGAAAATTTATTATGTCTAGTATCCCTTAGACATACTAATATAGAATTATTAAGTCCTAACGTAGTTAAAGGTTTAATTGTTACTTGTATTAGTGCTATATGTAAATAATTATAGTTCTTATCTTTATGTTTTTGAATTATGTTATTTGATAGTAGTTGAAAATTTTCTTGATTACTTGTAACTGATAAGGTTTGTTCTACTGTTTTAATTGTAAAAAATAGATTGACCAAGATCCCCCAAAAGGTTTTAGGGATATCTTGGTCAATCTATTTTTTGTGAATTATTATTTTTTTATATTTTTATTAGATTCTCCTATTTTTAAAGAATAGAAGCTTAAAATATCAAATGATTTGGATTTGTACTTAAAAAAATAAAATTAAAATACGAAATGTAATCATGACTATTGAATTTGTTCAAATTCAATATGAGTTATTGGGCTAATATTGTTGTTGTTAGCTAGTGAGCTAGAAGCATCTTTTTCCTATATAAAAATTTATATAGTTGTTCATGAAACCAGTCACTCAAAACCTCTCGTCCTAAACATGGAGGGAACAAAAAGGAAGAATATTTGCTAACTAAATATAGAAATCTTATTGAGGACCTGAAATCTCTGCATGAGGTTTTCTTTTCAAGCTGGTGAGAACCCGAACTTTCACGAATAGGTTTACTGTCTTTCATCATGTCAACCTGTGATAGCTTATATCAATCTCCACAAAGAGAATTTTTACATTTAAATCGTGAGCTTCACGAGTCTTGCTTTTCTCTTTGACCTGAAACTCTCTTAACCATGCCTTGTTCTGTTGGTTTTGTAGGGAAGGCTACTGTGATTACTTTAGGAGGCCTGGTGATGGGTGCTGTGGTGGGTGGGGCAGTGGAGAGCTTGTTGCAAGTGGACATCGTTCCATTGTTTGGTATACATTCACCAGCAGTGATAGTAAGCGAGTTCATTCTCTTATCTGAGTTCTTGGTCTCTCTTTTCTTAAAATAGGCTTTGATTCAAAAAGCCAAAAAGTGATCGGAATTACAGAAAGCCTAATTTTATGTACATGTTTCACCCCAATTGTATAACACCTTAATTTGTTAAGAGCTTTGTGATGGTGTATGGATAAAATTGTATCAGAGCATGCACCATCTTCTTGTATGGCTCTAACTTGTTCATAGGTGTATGTACAGCTTTCTTTTATTTGTTGTTCTGATCGAACAAGTATTCATGAGCTCTTCGTTAAGGGTTTATTTTCCTTTTGCTTTTCTTAACCGAGGGATAAAACCTATTGTTTGATCCAAGAACATTAACACTGTTATCTAGTTTCATTTCCTTTTGTCCTGAAAAGCTGTGACGGTCAACGTCGTCTCTCTAAGTGACTGAAGATTAGAGAGTCAGAGCTTCGCATTATGACTTTGTGTGTGCGTGTGTGAGAGAGAGAGAGATGTGTTTTCTCAACTGCTTTACAACCGTTATAGGTAGGTAAAATTGTGGTTAAGATGAAGGAAGATGCATATAATGCTATTACATCGTGGATGGTGATGGCCTTCACTGCCATTGGTTCTTACGTACATCGTGGATGGTGATGGCCTTTGCCGGTTTTTGCGTACAATTCTGTATATCTAAAAGGAAAAGGTTAAAATAAAAGAAAAAGCCTACTTTTATAAAAAGAAAAAAACAAAAAAAAGTAAAGCTGCATCTCAAATCTTACTAAAAGGTTTTAGATCTGATGTCAAATAAACCCTCAAATTGATCATCTCCCCATTGAGTATTGTGAAAGTGAGAAAAAAAAAGATTTTAAACTCTAAAAATAACGTATATATTACACATCACCTAGCCGTCTATTTCAAATGTTCTTGGATCCATCTCTGTACTATTTTTAAGCTATAAATTTTATAATCAATGATGATAATAGATGTCAGGGCATAAGGATTTTTCATACCTGAAGTATTTTTCTGATAGATTTTGAGGTGAGACTTTGCTTTTCCCTTTCATTTTTTTTGGACTTTTATGGAAATATGGTCCTGTCACCCGTGATTTATCAAATAAGAAAATGATGAGTACCGCCTCAGGACACCCGGATTCGCCGGTGTACCTTTTCTAGTTACATCCTGTGCCAAAATTTTCCAAATTGCTATTTTAATAATACTACAAAATGACCCACTTTTTAAGAATACTAAACCTGTCAAATTCTGAATCTAACCTTCCTTTTTTTCTGTCTCATTCTCTCCCTCCGCCCTTCCAACTAATTGTCTTTCTACCCTCTGATTCCCGCAGTCTCTCACCCCCTCACACCCCCAAACCAGACCAGTCCTGTCTTAAAACTCATCTCCCCTCACCCCAGAGGTTTATTTGAAGTACATTTAGAATTTCTATATGATCCAAACTGTACTCGAACAACAAAAAAACTTGGTAAACAGGCAGTCAGGTAAACTAAAGAGAATCGGAATCAGAGTAAGGTGATTCTCATTCCAGAATGACAATTTTTCAAACCCTGATTTGAAGATATGGTATATTTTCATATATTATCAAAACAAAAAGTTTAAGTACCAGTGCCAAAAAAAAGTCCTTCAGAGGCATGTAATTTAAACTACACAGAAAAATTTGTATGGAAAAAAAAAACAAAATAAATAAATAAAAACCATTAAATAAGAAATGATCAGAAACTACCAACCTGCAATTTTCTTTTTACAAACCCCTTAGGGTACAGGGGAAGCAAATAAAGCCAAAAAAAGACCAGCGCTGTTACATAATACAAGGGGAAAAAGGCAAAAAAAAAAAACATCCGTTGTTCATAGCCTTATGACAAGCTCACCTGCACCAATTGCTCCAACATCACAGGTCTTTCTTCCCACCTAGTGTACAATCTCCCCCTTAGAGAAACAATCTTGAACCTCTTAACCTTCAAACCATCTTTCTATTCATCCTGCATCCGAAGAACTTACTTGGCCTGCTTCAATGGAAGGGTTATCATATCTATCGAACGCCACCCTCGCCTTCTCCCCTTCCTCCAAAACCTCCTCATAAACCCCTGAAGAACACCTTGCAAACTCTGACATCACCTCAAATACTTCCATGAGACCGACCCTTAATTTCTCTACTGTAGCCTTCTGAGTCTCCTGGACTAATTCCAAATGTTTTACTTTATCATTATCCAACCTCTTTCTAAACAACTCTATCAGCTCCTTCCTCGCAGCTAGGTACTCAACCCTATGTTTTAAATCCCCTTCTGTTTTCGAATCTGAAAGTTTTGACTCCAGTATTCTGTTTTCCACTCTTTGCAATGCCCGGACCCTTCTATCAAGCTCTTTCGCTAAGCTCTCGACCTTCCTCTTTTGCTGAATCTCTTCTCCTTGCTGCACCCACAAAGCTCTAACCTCTCTTCCAAGGCTTTTCATGGCATAACCCACATCCTTGTCTTGGAGTTTCTCAAGAGCTAGTAGCCAATCACCACATATAACCAGCAAAGCTGGGGGAGCAAATGCAGGCATGCTCCTCGAGTTGTACTTAAGGTCTGAGATTATGAATGTGGATAACCAGCCATGCAGAGCTTTGACATAAGCCTTTTGTGCAGAAACCCATTCAAAGAAGCTGGTGCGCCAGTTTTGAAGCTCTATCTCAAGCTGAAGGGTTGCTTTATGGTGCAAATCAGTGCAGAATTTGCCAGAGAAAGACTGCACTTCAGAGATTATCTGATATTGGGTTTGATGGGACTCCCACATTATCTTCCATGTCTTCAAAAGGCTGCAAGGGAAGATGAGCATACACAACTATGATACTGATCCAGAGCTAACGAACAATATAAAGTAAAATTACAATACAATCCAATTGACAGAAAAATAATTGTCCCATGGTCACCACTGACATGTACGTGTGGGATGAACTAAATCCTCTAGTGGAAGATTGGTTCAAGGGATTATTGAAAGCCATAGTCCATTGCAGACATCACCATTCAATGAAAAAATTGCAGGACAGTGCTGGATATGGTCTACAGTTATCTCACAATTCATTGGATTATGCTCTATTTTCCTACATATATATCAAGTAATATGAGACTAATTTACCCATGGAGTAGCTCAGTGAGTTGGGGGTGCAACTCCTCATCCCTTAGTTTCTGGATTCTTATTGATATGGAATCAGCTGAGCGAATGGCGACCCAAATTCGAGTGTGCAGATCCCTTATGATGGCTCTGGTTTTGTCCAGAGAACGTTGTTCAACTCCCTTGGTTTCCTGATTCCTCAGTTGTGACATTTTCTGTTCATAAGTCCGTCTTGTACGCTCTCCAGCCTGCAAAGGATTGATGAGAGTGATCACATCAGAATTCCACTATATATATATAGAGAGAGAGAGGGAGCCTTTTGGCTGTATATTTAAAAGGTCTATTGGAAGGATTCTTGTAGTCCGAGGAAGCTTACTTTCTACAAACCTTATTAAGGCTTCCTAGAGGACTTGTACTTTCATGTTCAAACTGATTCCCCCAAAACTTTAAGGGTGATTTATGAATATGAGGAATTCTAGGCTAAAGGGTAGCTATATCAAGGGGAGAGGCAAGATAATCCATCTCCCTATTACAGCCAAATTTTTCATAACTTGGGTCAGGAGAAATAGACAAATACCAAGGGCTAAAGCAGCAGACCAAAGTCACAGCAGGGCAATCACAAAAAATTGCAAGGAAATGTTGGACGAATGTTATCATGAGAGTTAGCAAATGCTTGGGAGCCACCAGGGAAGAATGTGAGGAGTTAGTTTATTCGACTGTGAAGTTCTTTGATAGCTTAAGACAGTTTAGTAGGGCTCTTTTGCTTAAGAAGAGACTCTTTAGTGGATAATAAGTCAGGTGTATTGAGCAAAGGAGCTACAAGTTCAGAGATAAATTTGGATAGATGAGGTTTCAACTTTGAGTATAATGGAGAAGGTCTGGAAAAGGCCGAGGGTTCTGTTGGGTTTCTGCCCTAAAAGTTGAGATTACTCAGACCAATAGCTGGAAGACCTCATTCACATCAAGGGTGTTCCTATGAGAATAATGGTAAAAGGAAGAATAATGCGATTGATAGCAAAGAAGAGTTCGACAGGTTAATGAACCTAAGATTTTGTCCAAAGGGCCACAACAATCGAGGCGATGCCAGGGTACTCAGAATATTTTGTATTGAGGATAAGGCCATGTTTGGAATATTTAAGACATAGCACATAATATTAGGTCTTGTAGGCCATGAGTGTTGGAAAAGGACACCACTTTGTCTTCACACATCTAGTAAACAACTTTTTATTATCCAAAGAAGTCTTGTCCACTTACCTATATGAATTCATGAATTCCAATGACCTAGGTTATAGAGTATGCACAAATGCATACTGGGTTATGTCCAAATTAGGCAGCACCTAAATGTTGTGCATCACCTCAACTAGAAAATGTTCATGTGAGATACATCAGTATACATTATAAGTCAACTAACTACAATCAACACTAAGTGTTATCCAGAGTTAGAAGGCATCTACAAAGGCTTCAACCCTCGCAACTTGTAAGAACAGATACAAGTTTCAGTGAGGTGGAGTTCAGAGACCTAAATGTTCTGGGTTCCGTGACTCAATCAGTTCGAGATAAATTAAATTTCTTTCAGTTCAAGACAAAGTTGAATTTCCTCTATCATAGTGAGTATTGAAGGCTCCGAACAAGCAATGGCATCAGAGGTAACAAGATTTACTACTACAACCACTACTACTAATGCTATTAGTACCACAACCACAATTGTTCTTATAAAATTGTCTATTGTGTGCGGTATTAGCATGCACATAGTTTTAGCTTCAACCTTGAATTAATGCACTTCTCCAAAATATGTAGGAGTGCGCACCCATGAGGAGCATGCTTTTTTTGGCACAAAACAATCGCAGTATGGACCCTTAAAGATACACGAAAAAGTAACAAGAAGTAAAAATAAGTGAAGTTACATCAATTGGATAATAATAGAAAAGGCTTGCATGCTATTCATTACCTTCACTTCATGGTATAGCTTCTTCTCCCAAGCATATAATCGGTCTAGAGTCATGGAATGACTACCTGATATCATTCCACAATCAATGAATAAAATATCATCAGATTTGGTCTCCCCCCATGTCACATCTTTCAAATTGGACTCCAAGTAATTCTTGTTTGGTGAAGATAGGGACGAAGAAGAAGACCGGTGCCATGCTATGGCATGGACGATTTTAGATGAGTTCTCTGCATTTACAGTTTTATGATGCATAAGATAGCTTCAATCCCCTATAGGAAACAAACAAACACTACCCTCAAGTCACACACCATGCCTAGCCCCTCATATTGCATCTTAGTCTTGAAAAACCAAAAGGACAGTATAATGCAAGGTACTATGGAAAGCCATGGTCATTTGAGACATCACCATCAGGTGATGGAGAGAATGAGACCCACCATTCAGATCATGCCCTGCTTCTACATTTGAATGACATGTCATGTCTCACTTTGGTGCACCCCAGTCTCTCTGCATCACCTTTCATAATTTACTGGATGCTCACGACCCTATGGATTATCAATTTCTCATAGTCCATTGGATTATAGCAGAATTTCTAGTAAAGAAATGAGCCTTTTGGAGTCAAGTTTGTTTCAGGCTTAACCTCAAATTGAGAAGCACAGACTCAAGATGTAAGCCTTACAAAGTTTCCATTAAGTACCTTACAACGAAGAAAGGATTATTGGGAAGACCTCAAAATAGAGAACAATTTCCAGAATAGAAAGAACCAAATAATAATGGCAGAAACAGTTAAATCATAGCAACAACTTATAATGTTCAGTTAACAAAGACATTAGAAACCAAAAAGTAATAGAAAAGGAAAAACTGAAGTACAAAAATGAGCATGGTTTTCTTCTGAAAGCACTAATTTGCCCAAATTATGTACTAGGAGAACCCAAAAAATACTAATCACACAAAAATATGATAAATTTGGCTCCATATTAAAATAAATCCCATGGAAAATAGATGAAGAAGCAAACAAACAATGACGACAGATTAAGGATGACATTAACATTTTCATAAAATTCAATTTGCATGAACCATTAGAACTTCTTCGAATATTAATATGAAAGAAAAGAACCATAGCAACGCGATAAATTTGGCTATAAACTGCATATATATGTTGCAATTTGAAAGGAAGAAAACAAAAAGAAGAATTACTGAGAGAAAGTAAAACAGAGGAAGAGGTGGGAGGGCAGGGGGATACATTACAAGCAAAAGTGTACTGCGATGAAACAATGAAGGGAGAAGGATCAAAGAAATAAAGAGAGCACAAACGACCAATTAAAGGTTATTTCAAAATGAATGACTGGGTAGAGAGAGAGAGCAAACGACCAATTAAAGGTAAAATGAAACTGTAGATGAATAAATGGGCAAAGATATATGCTTCTCGCCTTTGACTCTGTCCACAGAGAGAGAGAAAGAGAGAGAGAAGCCTACAAACAGCGATGTGCATATCAATTTGAAGAGATAGAGATAGACCAAGTAATCATGCAAAGGCCAAATTGAAGGACAAAGACAGAGTGACGCTTACATAGAGATGGAGAGACAAAGTATGGAGAGAAATAAGGGCAGAGAGAGAAAGTTCTCACCCTTGATTTCATCCAACCCAGACTGGTACTGCACACTAGTAGCCTCAAGCATTCGTCCAACCTCCTTCCCAGAGTCATAAGCTCTCATAAAATGGTCCCCAACATCTCTCAAACTCTCGACCAGCTCTCTAGCCCTTGCAGGCGTTTCAACAACAGTCAATCCCTTCTCCTTCACCACCACCTCCTCCTCCTCCTCCTCCTCTTTCACCGCTAAAACTGATGGAACCGCCTCTTCCACTGCTAAAACTGGCGGCTCGGCAACTACCCCCAAATCTTCCTCTAAATCGGGTATTCCTTCCTCTTCTCTGACTACCCTCAGGTCATCTTCTGAGCTTCTTCGATGGACCCTCGTGTTACTGAGCTCGTGTTCTATGGACCCAAATGGGTTAAAGAAATCCCAGCCATAAGAGAGAGGAGGAGGAGGAGGCGGAGCTGACTCCGATTCCATGAAAATGTAGCCATGAGAGGGTGGGGGGCCTTGTTTCTCAGGGGAAGAGAGAGGAGAGAGAGAGGAGGAGGGAGAGGAGAGAGAAAGTGGGGTTGTGGGTTTTTGGGGTTTTGGTGGGGTGGGTGGTGGAGGGGTAGAGAGAGAAACGGGTTGTGGGGGTAGAGAGAGAAGGGGAGTCGAGGGGGAGGAGAAGAGAGAGAGGGATGAGGAGAGAGAGTGGAGAGAGAGCGAGTAACGCAGGTGTGCTTGGGCGAGAGCGGTGCGCCGTTGCAGGGTGGTTTTGAGAAGACGTTTTCTTCGCTTTAGGAGAGAGACTGCCTCGTCATCGAGCATTGGCCTCGAGCTCGCACAACCCATTAGAGAGGGAAAGAGTTTCTTGCTCGTTTCTGAGAGGAGAGAGAAACTATGAGAAGAGGAGAGAGAAAGACATAGTAGAAGGGGAGTGTTTCAGTACAATGGAGAAGATGGGTTGGGAAGAGAGAGAGGGAGGTCTCTGAGAGGAGAGAGATAAAACATTCCGGAAGGACTCTTTAGAGAGAGAAAGGCGAGGTACGTTTTCGGACTGTTTGGTATGAGAGAGAATAAATGGCGGGAGTGAAAAGAACAAGCAGAGAGAGAAAGAGAGAAATGGGGTCTCTTCTAAGCGTAGAGAGAGAAAGAGGAGTGAGTACAAGCGGGTGTAGGGAGACAGACAAGAGTCAGTAAGTAAGAGAGAGGGGGAGCAACGTACTCTTCAACAAAAGTCCGACAAATGAATATACAGAAGAGAGAGAGGAGAGTCCGAAAAAGGAATATAGAGGAGAGAGAAAGGGTGTTTTAATGGAGTTGGAGAGAAGGCATACAGGCTGGGTAGAATGAATGTTGAAGTGCTAAGAGAGAGAAAGGCGGGATTTAGAGAGAGAGTATTCACCAGAAACAGAGAGGACTTAGAGAGATAAAGGAAGAAAGTATTGAGAGTGGTATTATGAGTTTAGTGTGAGAGAGAGAGTAAAGAGGGGTGGCGGAGTGAAAATGGGGCTTGTTTAGAGTGTGTGAAGAGATGAGAAGAGAGAGAAAGAGGAGAGAGAGTGGAGAACAACTGCCAAAGGGGTATTTGGTATACGAATGAGGAGAAGCATTCTCCTCACACGAACGCACGCACGCACGCAGCGAGAGAGAGAGAGAGAGAGAGTTAAATGTGGTAGTCGTTGGAAGTCGTGAATGTGTGTTGTGATGTCGATGCAGTCAAATTTTGTTGTCTTCTGCTCCTTTCCTTTCATTTTTTATTAAATATAGCCTTCAAACTTGGCCAATATACCCTGCTCACTTAATTAAAAAAAAAAAGTAAAAAAGAGAAAAAATAAAGGTTGCCTCCGCTCCAAACCATATTAAATTGGAGCCTACCTTCACAGATGCGGTTTCTCGTTATCTTCATATTTATTTATAAAATTTAAAGATTTAAAAATGATATAGATCGATATATCTATGAAAATTTTGAAAATTGACAGATCCAAAATACGTTACAAAATGCACTATTTTTAAAATTTGAAATCTAATTTTTCTCATGCAATATCGAGATGATCAATTTGAAAATATTTCGACGTCAAAACCACATCTTTAAATGAAATTTTTTAAGCATGCTCAAATGATTGTTTAGAACCTGGGCTCTATATAGACTTTTCCCAAAAAGAAAACCCAATCTGTATCCGCCCAATTTGTATCTTTAAATTACCGCTTTTCTGTCTATAAAACTTTACGGGAAAAAGATGCCTAGAGCATAGTTGGGACGCTTGAAAATATTTTTTGGAAGTATTTTATGACAAAAATCTCTTATATGATTAAATAATCTCATGTTAATTGGCTGTCAATTACTGTGGAAAAATACCCTTGAACTAAGTAATATGAAAAAAATTTATATCTAATCATATATATATACTTTGACAAAAATATTCTTACTAAATTGTCCTAATAAAATAACAAAACAGTATTGGCATATAATTCCCAAACATTTTTATTCCATATATTAAGTGTTTACATAGATGTATCGTTAGTGGTACTTTGTTGTTTAGTCAGTGATTTCAAAAATGGATCAATGACTCCGATTGGAAGCCCATCTCTAGATGTCGTCCTATGATAGCGGCACATTTTTGGTGGTTGGTGAGGAATGGTGCCTCCATTTCCTTTTGGCATTATAAGTAAATGGGTGATACCCCTTTGAAGCTTACTTTTCCAGATCTTTTTGCTAAGGTTCTTCTCTCGAACACGAAGATAACAGATTTAGTAGATTTCAATGGTTCACTTATTGTTTGGAATATCTCTTTTCCTTACGATAGACTTTCTAGTGACGCTTATCTTCAGTAGTTAGAACTATTGAGGCTATTGGATTCAGTTTGGATCGTCAGATGAATTTATTTAGGAATTTCATAACGATGGCATCTTCTCAGTCCAGTCCTGTTACATGATTTTTTTCCACGACAGATGGAGATAGTCATTACCTCTTGTGACTAAGATGTGCAAAGAAGATGAGGAAACTGGGAATCACCTTTTCGTTCACTGTAAGATTGCTTCTTTTATTTGGTATTGGTTTTTCGATGTTCTTGGGGTTTAGACTCCTATTCCTTTTTCGGTGGCGGACTTAGTGTCACAACTACCTTTTGGGCATTTACATTCGGGGGGATCTTGGTTTGGCAAATTACAAGAGGGGCAGTGCTTTGGGAGATGTGGAAGGAAAGGAATAGGCGTATTTTTGAGGGAGTGTGTATTTCAGCAGATAGTTTGCTTGATAATGATAAGCTCTCCATTCGGCATTGGTTTTCAATCACTAAGGATGGCTGGGGCGTCTCTCAACTATATATCTTGTTTAACCTACAAACCCTATTTCTCTTGGGGAAAGTTAAGATGTGACTTAAATGCTTTTGGACTCCTCCAGAGGTTGGTCATTTTAAATTAAATTTTGATGGCAGTTTCTTAAGTAATCCTAGTTTTGCTGGAATTGGAGGTGTATTGTGTAATGATCAGGGACAGGTTATCTGTTCTTATGCTGGTCCGTTAGGCTCTGCTACGACCAATCATACGGAACTTGCCGCATTACTGTAAGATCTTAAGCTCTTTATTTCCAAAGACATTGGCAATAGTTGTATTTTTTAAGGTGATTCGCTTAATGTTATTGGCTGGTGTAAGAAGGAATTGCACATTTCTTGGAAGCTCAGGTATATCTGGTTGGAGATTATAGACATTTCAGCCCCCATAACTATCTCTTTCTCTCATGTTTATAAGGAGGCTAATGCTTTAGCTGATTCTCTAGACAGAGGTGGGGTCTCCCTATCTTTTCTTTTGTTTTCTTATGATGTAATCTCTTTTTATTAGTATCTCATTAATAAAAGTTGGAATCTTTGTACAAAAAAAAATAAAATAAAAAATATATATATATATATATATATATATATATATATATATATATAGTAA